TATTGATCTAAATAAGCAAATTGTGTAGAAAGTCAAGGAGAACTTGTGTAGCAAATAGAGAACTTTCCTCCTTCCTTCGCTTCATAATTTATATTTTTTAATATTCATAAAAGAGATAATACATTTCATTAATAGCAAATAAATAAATCAATGTATTGACACTATATATCGTTCATAATCGAAGAATTTTCTCAAGGAATCTATTATTCTATATAGATTATTTTTCCCTTTATGCTTGATATATAGTGAACGCTATAATTTATACTTTTTCTGCTAGAGAAATTTTGTATTTTTATAATTTATTATTCCATCTGCTTTCCTCTTAAATATTAACTACAAAAATGACCGTAATCTCTTTTCCGAGTGTTTCTTAACTGAATAATATTCGCGTTAATTATAAGTAATTTCCGCTAAATATTATTACGAATACCAGTTAGGCGGATTTTTATATAGAGAGAGAGAGACGCAAGAATGTCTTCAATATATTTATTCCTATTTGCTTTTTCTCTTCTTCTTTTCTCAAATTTTTACCTTTAATTTCATCTCGTTCCGAGTATAGCGATTAATACGCAAATGTAAAACGAAAATATCCCACAAGAGTGCAGCCGAATGTCTTATACCGTCCACCAGACCACCGTGTTTGTGACTCACGTAAACATCGCATCACCCATTGCTTCTAAATTTAAGATAGTTGGTGATCTAAGATACATTGTGGCAAAGGATATGCTGCGCACAGTAGAAACGGGGACGTAAACTTTATTACCTTCGAAGCTATATACGTTTCCATTGTCGATATCATCACTCGGTCTATACACATTACCTCGATTAAAAGAAAAAAATCGATTACTCATCGTGGAAGAACCTCGTTCTATCTTCCAGCGATCGTCTATATCGCGCGCCTACATTATTTCTATCGTTAGCGCCATTCTCGTGGAAACTCGTGTAAACGGTAAATCGAATAAACGACAGTGGAAATTGCATCCCTGCATTGCAGCTCGTTTTATATAGCAGAAGAGATACCGATAGATGCACCGTATCTTTTGGTACATCACCGTCATAGATTTTCACACCCGTGAAACGTACGACTGTTGTTCACTGCACGTTTAGCATCGGCTGTGTTTTGCCCGATCGTACGATCCGCGTTCTCATCGCATATTTAGCGATGACTGTGGCTACCTAATTCCCATCAGTGTCGATTAACTTTCGACATCGTACATGGACTTTATATCGGACAAAATTTCGAATCACGCAGCCACTTTCGGTAATGCAACGCTAAATGAGTGGTGAAAATGTGGACTCGATGGACGTCGTTATTGACATATGAGAATCTCGATACCGAATCGGACGGCCACTTTTGGTGGTAAATGCGGTGAGGGTGCGGACCTATAATCACTTTTGCGCACCGTGAATATCGCCGGGACCAATCCATGAGCTCCTCCCTCCCCAGCATTCGAGATATCGTTTGTAATATCAGTGAAAAAAAGAACAACTCCCTGTTCTTGTCCCTCGCGCGCGGAATTATAGTGCAGCTCCTCTAATAGCAGCGAAGGAAGAGCGTTGTCTTTCCGCGTTATACATATATCTGTTGTGCCTGGGAACAGGGGGTAGAAGGAAGTGGTGCAGGAAGGGACGACAAAAGCATATCATATAGGCACACGTGCGATCGAGTGTACGGATCTCGCGAACAGTCGGCGGACGCTCTATAGACAATCGTCATTTCTCCGACAGAATTAATCGTGTAGTTAACGCGCGTTTCCGTTTTTCTTGTCTCTTTTCTTTTTTCCGAATAACTCAAAATGAGACAGCCGTTCTCTTTTGGACCAAAATTGCGAATCGGTTGGCATCTCAATAACGACCATGTCTAAACATTCGTATTGTCGTTTTTTATTTCATTTAATTCATGGACACATCTCGATCATGATACAAAAATCGTTATCGATACTAGCATACATATTGAAACGGAAAAAAAAAAACAATCTTTTAAGAGACTTTGGAGCTGTTGAATTCATATTCTTCGTGGGTTGCAAATTTAATTAAACCGTAAGCGTGTTGGTTTTACTCGAATAATATTAAATAATACAATAATACCACAATTATCTCTCCACATATAGAACAACATGGCTGTATTATTGGCATATGTTACTGTTAATTCTGATATTTTATTACGCACAATCGTAACGTTGCTTTTATATATTGAAATGCATATACATTTACTTCTGTAGTTAAGTTATGTACGGCGCTACCAAACGCATTCGTAGATCGCAGTACTTGATCTTACCTACAATTATTATTTTCTATTTTGGCGACTAAACATTTAGGAGCTTTTCCTTGTCGTCGTATTTTTGGCTTCACGAATCTTGTCCCTTAATATTTATCTGTTTAAAATGCAATGATGACATTAGTTGATAAGATAATTTTTTTAATTCAGAAATGCACGCACAAACTTCTACGCGTGTCATTTTACAATAAATACATTACTGCCCGATATATACATTTGCATGTAATTTTTAGTTTCTTAAGCTACATCTACCAAATCCGTTTATAGTAGAAAGATTGATGTGTTGTTGAAGGAAGAAATTAATCAGATGACGCGAAATAAATGACCCGTCGCGTAAAATAAAATACAATTGCATTCACAAAAACTATGTATATAGTCGTATGTTATTATAAAAAGAAAATATATTTAGACTTTTAGGATGATAAAAATTATTCGATGATAAATATTATTAGAAAAAAGTGAATACTACCGACGGATATGGAAATGGAATGAATAATAAATTCATCGTGCAAATTAAGTTAATATGAAAACTTGGCAGCAAATTAACATTTAAATAGTTTCGCGGAGATCAACTTGATACTGATATTTAATTAAACTATGAGAATTCTTAAACACTTTATAGATCTCCACGCAAATAGAAAATTTATTTTTCTTGCACAGACATGATCGGTTGAATAACAGTTCGAAAACGTTACATGAAGCTTTACTCAATGTTTTCTCAATTTTTTTCCTCAGTATTTGAATTCTAAATATGTCAGTTTGGAATATGGATAACAATTTGATATATCTTGAATATAAACGTGAATTTTTAATTGTAAAAGAGAGAGCTGTACCTTTAAATTTAATGACCCAGTGAAATTTCATATTTTTTTAAAGCAGCTCAATTATTATCCGATACCTGATGTTTAATCCTTTTTAGCTAATTCAATTGTTTCATCGTTATAAAAGAAACGCACACGAATACATCACGAGTAAATTGCATAAAATGAAATTCATTTTTCGCATAAAATAAAATATCAAGATCGGAAAGAAGTTTCCGATACTCTAAACCGTATCGAAAATATTTCCGCGTTACACTTCTTGCGACGTCTACGTAGTATTCTTACGTCACTCCCGTTGGTCACGCCTAATAAGGAGAATGAATAATTTGTTGATGGAAGACCATTTTCTATATTTACCCTCATTTATGTGCGGTGCTATCGGCTTGAGTTGCTCGCTGCTCACAATTGCCCCGATTCTTTGTGCCTTAAAGACTGGATTTCCTATCCAGGGTTGCACCGACCATGCATTGACTGTGTTACGTCTTTACCACTTTAATCATTAGGGACTATACACGGTCTATGCTGTGGTCACGCTGTCCACGCAGTTGCTATGTTGAACAACTCTGAAGAAGATGTGTACAGGAAACTTAATACGTAACTTGTGTAGTCCTCGACACAGTTTGTCAATAAACAAGTCCAAGTACCATCGGATCACTACATCTTATTATAGTATCAATTTTTCTTTCAAATTACTGTCTCAAATCGGATTTTTTAAACGCGCGTCCTTTTTTTTTAGCTCCTTATTCAAAAGAATCGATTCGAAAGATATGCTCTGGACATATGTATTTATGTAAAAAATTAACTAAATCTTGAAACTTAGAAGCTATAATTTTGAAAGTATTTAAATTCTAGTGCCTAGAGAGCGTAGAATATATTTTGTGGTATCATTTATTTCACCACTTTGTGCCTATCTAAAATGTTACGTGTACACGTAAAAGCGATAGAATGGCATACATTCAGAACGTGTATCTCAAGAATCATGTTTGAAACGAGAAGCAATAGAAACGATGTAAGTGCAATCCACGTGTAAATTGAGACAGGTGCAAATGGGTGTTTGCATATTATTTAAATGGAAATAACACGCCTGCAATTTCCTGTGACATACAGAGCACCGCGGGTACAGAGCCCCCCCCC